ACCAGCCCCTTATTTTCTCTTAAAAAAAAAACCAAAAACTCATTGAGTCTATTTAGCACTTTCCATATGCACATGACTGTGGAGCTCAAATAGGATTTTTTAAAATCAAGATTCTAATGCAGTACAATGCAAAGATGAACTAATTTGCTATATTCTGGAGAATGGTGGTAGGAAAATATTAAAAAGTCTTTTTTGTAGTTAAGCTATTCAGTTTCTATAAGAACAGATTGTATGTGCTATAGAAACATAGTAATTGGGACTGGAGAGATGGCTTAATAAGTGCTGGGATATAGAAAAGTCAGAGCCACATTTCACTGCTCAGAATGTCAAGTGGTGCAGCCCCTTTAGAAAACGGGTCACTGTTCCATGTAGGTTAAACATACAGCAGCTTTGTGACCCACCATTTCCAATCCACCCCTAGACTATTCCCAAAAGAAACTAAAACATGTCCACAGAAGACATCTGCACAAATTTTCAGAGTAGCATTATTCACAATAGCTAAACAATGAAAACAGCTCAGATGTCAACCTGCTTAAGCAAATGGAGTATATTGTTTTCCTACAAGTAGAACATTATTTGGCCTTAAAAAGGGGAATGATGTTCTTATTCAAGCTACAACAAATATCAACCTTGAATTTGTTAGTCTATGGAAAAAATGAAAAAAAAACAAAAATATTAATTATTCTGTTTAGATGAAGTATTTAAAATAGGTAGATCTAGAGAGAAATGCTTCTGTGTAGGTTAATTGGTTTGCTTTCTCCTTTCTGTATCGCCCAATAGTAGGGCATGCCTGTTTACTTTCAAGTGTCTTATGTCCAGCTCAGGCTATGCTGGGTAGAAAGTAAATAACTCAAACAAAACCAGATACTTTCTGGTATCAACATGAGTTTACTGGTAAGTAGAAGGATTTCATTTATTCACATTGGGAACTTATTTTTGGTATCACTAGCTAGACTTAAATACTTTGAGATGATTGTATAGTCCTGGCATTGAAGTAAAGACTGACATAAACCTAAATTTAGTTGTAAAGTTAAATTTGTTGCAAGTTTATAGAATATTAAAATTTTCCATTATTGCCGGATTTCTTCATTTCAAAAGTCTCTTTCTTTTAAAAAACCCTCATGGTCTGAAAATTGCCGGAGAGTTGAAACTTTGATTCCTTGTTGCTCTTATGCTGTTCTGAGACATGTTCTCTTACCATGTTCAAGCTGGCTTGAATTGTCAGTTCTCCTGCTTCCTCTTCTTGAGTGCTGGGATTTGGAGTGTGCACCATCACACTCATCTTCTGTTTCTTAATATACCCTGTGAATTTCTGAGAGTTTCTAAGCATTTGATTCCCCATGTAATTCTCATTGCATTTTCAATGATACAACATTGGACTAAATGCATAGAGTCTGTGTTTGAACTTGCCCTAGACCATATTCTTGCCAAAGTTTTGAAAACCTATTTAGAAATACTTCCCTTATTCCTCTGCCAGTGTCTTCAGAAGCCCAAACCTTTTGCCATATTGGCCTCCCTGTTCTATCTGTGTAAGTACAAAGGTAAAGCTACTGATAGGGTGGTGTTATGTTACTGATGTATTGAACTGTAGGAAGCCATTTTTACTAGCTTAATGTGCATTTTGCCCTGAGAACTTGGTGATAAATGGTGCTCTCTGAACCTTCCCTAGATATAGGACCTAAATAAAATTGTTCTAGACGGCCTCTTATTTTTATCCTTCTTTGTGAGAGATAGAATTCAGGCACATGAGATTCTAGTTACTCAGGGACTTAAGGCAAGAGGATCACTTGAGCCCAGACAAATGGGACCAACCTGAGCAACAAAGAGAGGCGTTGTCTGTCTCTCTGTCTCTATCTCTTTGTCTCTCTTCCCCTTCCCCATCCCTCTCACTCTTTCCATATGTATAGATAGAAATATATTTTAGTTAATAGTTTATGTTATACATAGATACAGATTTTTATTTTCTTTGTTTTTAAGATAGGGTCTCATTATATACTCCCACCTAGCCTAAAGCTCACAATCCTCCTACTTCAGCCTCCCTACTGCCGATACTGCAGGTGTATACTACCATATCCAGTTTGAGATTCTTTTAAAGAATAGGGGAAAGAGAAAGTAAAAGTAGATGGATACTATCATTAGGAAACAGAGAACATTAAAACAATTTCAATACTTCTGTCAATTTATGGAATGTATCCTCCAAACATTTCAAAATATTTGTACTAAATTCAGGGGTCATTTTGTAGCTGACATTTCAGTGAAGTTGAGAGTGGCATTATTATGGTAAGTGTAGTAGAGAGACTTTTGGCTTGGAACCATGTCATCCTTTATGTTTGGATGGCTATGCAGGTTTCTAAATGAGATTCAGCACCACTTATTTTGTTAAGAGAAAGGCACCCCAAATAAATTCCTGTTGGGTTGCCTTTAACTAGTTTTACCCTGTGAACAGTTACTTTCCTCTCTCTTCCCATGAGCCCTAAAATAGCCTTATTAATAGAAATATATGATGTTTGTGTTTTAAAAAAATCAGGGTGGTCTTAGATGTCTGTCTTCCTTTCTGGCATTTCCCTTTATACAGCCCTTTAGAATTTTCTGTTTAAAAACTGGCATTCCAATAGCTTTTCTTTGGCCTAAAGCCTGGGTTACACATTGAAACAGCAAATTAGGAATGTTAAGACATCCTCCAAAAAAAGAAATGTTTGTTATGAAAGCAGAGCTGATATGACACTTAGAATTAAAGCTTCTTAACTTGTCTGAATGACAGTGAATGATCTTTCTTCTTTTTTTATTATTGTTTTAAGGGGGGAGATGGGATGAAAGAAATGCCCAGAGGCTGACACTGGGTTTGGTTCACCAAACTGTTAAATGTCAAATGTACTCCACTGATAATACATCTTTTGTCTCTTTTTAGGAGCTAATTTTGTTACTCGAAAAATTAGCCGGTCAGTAGCTAAGATTTACCTTGGACAACTGGAATATTTCAGTTTGGGAAATCTGGATGCCAAACGAGACTGGGGCCATGCCAAGGACTATGTAGAGGTAGGAACTGATTCATTACATTAAAATTGCCTGTATCAATTGATGTTTTAAACACCAGGCCTGCAGGGAGATGCATGACCTAGAGATGGTCAGCTTTAAACTTCTGCTGACACAGGTATGATTAAATGTGTGCTGCTGTGTGTTTAAGGATGGATGGTTCAGGAGTATAGGTTGTGTGTGCCCAATATTACTTAACAAGGAAATCCTTCACAAATTTTATTTTAATTGGTTAAAACAAAGGTGCTGCTCAGTGTTTTGAATGTTGGATGTATAGATTGCTGTATACAATGTTACAGTACTACTCTTCTTCACTTTGTAAAGCTTTCATCCTACCTGTCTTGTTTCATATCCTCTCTACCCAGTGTTCATAAAACCCCCTGTGGAAAAATGTCCTGGATTTAAAAGTACTTGTTTTCAGATCTTCAAAAAATAAGATCCATTCTCAATCTATGTAATATAAGATCTTTAGATATGTAGTAATCTATCAATTTCCTTTGAAGGTAATAATTATATGGAACTATTGGATTCTGTGCTGAGGAGTCTGGTTATAAGCCATTGCACACCAATGAGCATCACCCATTAGAAAGAGATATTAGTCATGATACTATTGCAAAATAATATGGTACAGTGAAGAAAAATTTGTGTTTCCACTCTTGGGATTCTTATAAAGTTAAGGTTAGATTTTGCTTACTGTATTATGTATAAAGAGTGTGACTTTTTTCATTCTTGTAAACAAATGATTACATTTCCTTTGCTCTAATTAACATGCTTTTAAATCTTCACGTGGATTCTGTGGTCAGACATGAACTGGCTTGGTAGAGATGACACCCTTTCCTAAAACTGTCTGTCCTCACTCAGGTGCTTATGTATTTCCTGGGCTCATAGCAGTCTTTCTGTCCTAAAGTATTTCTGTCTGGAATCTAGATTAGACTTCCATGTGCATTCATAAAATTCCAAAGAAAGAAAGCAAACAATGGTTCACTTAATAATACAGAGGCTATCACCTGTGTTTTTGTTTTTGTTTATAACAGCTAAAATTGTATGAATCTGAACATGTATTGATTTATTTTATCAAAAGAAATTTTGATTTAAAATTTGGAATAGTGTAGCATCTGACCTTTTGATGGGATCTTCTGAACTACAATTACAAAGAGACATTTTAGGGGCTGGAGAGATGGCTCAACAGTTTAAGAATACTGACTGTTCTTGCAGAAGACCCAGGTTTGAATCTCAGCACCCACATGGCAGCTAGCAACTGTCTGTAACTCCAGTTCCAGGGTATCCAACAGCCTCTTCTGTCCTCTGTGGGCATTGCACGACACGGGTGCACTTATTTACATGCAGGCAATTCATGCATACACATAAAAAATAAAATATTTTAATAAAAAAGACACTTTATAGCAGGAGTTCTTAGGTGTAATATTATTATATCAACAACATTTTAGAAAGAATAAGAAAAACTTAAATGGAAGCAAGTTTTGTAGCAATAAGCATGTTACTTTTTCAATAGTATCACTTTATGTTCAGCCTTCTGTTCTTCATCTGTGTATTCTTTTTTCCTTTGGTCTTTTTGATACAGGGTCTCTGTAGCCCCAGCTTGCCCAAAACTCACAGAGAGTCACCTGCCTCTGCCTCCAGAGTGCTGGGATTAAAGGCAAAGGCGTGTCACCATGCCCAGCATATAAAGGTACTTGGGTATCTATGCTCACCTCTTGTTTCAGGAATCAGACAGACTGAATTTTATTCTATCTTTTTTTTTTTTAATGCTTTGTTCTTGGGTGAAAAAGGAGATTGTATTGGAACTCAGAAATTCATTAAATTTGGAAATGCTATAGCAGCATTTTTCAAGTACTTATTGCTGATTATGTTTACTTTCTTCTTGAAGAATCCTATTTCCATATCTTTGAGCTAAATATATGTTAACCTTTGCAATCAGAGTGGGAGATGACATTTTTAAATAGACAAAAAAAAATCCCAATATGAAGCAATGAAATTGTTAAATAAGTGTGTAAATGATGAGGAAAACTTTTTGAACCAGTGGCCCTGTTGTACTCTCACTCTTGAGAGGCTAAAGCAGCACAGCTCAGGGGTACAGCCAAATCTTGGCACAAAAGGCCTGTTTGTGTTCATATAGAAATTTAAAATTAATAAACATTTTGCCTAAACACTTTAAAAAGAGTGTCTCAAATGAAGTCACTTTTATAATTGCTTGACAAGATGATGTTAGTACAAAATGCCCCAAAGCGAAAATATCAAAATATCCACCTGAGATTAAAGTGATTAGGCCTTTTAATATAAACATGCAAATGTCACATTATGCACGTGAGCATGCAGTCACTCACATACATTATGGCATTCCACTTGATGTCTCAAACTTAATTTGTTCTACAAGATAAGTGGGTTTTGTATACCGAGGGTTCTCCTGGGGTTCTAATAGCAGCATATGTTGCTGATGTAGGAAATTTTTACAGTTCTCATTTATATGTTCTGAAAGAAGTCTAAATGCCTTGATTTCTGAAAAAAGTACCATTAATCAAAAATTCATAGTTTGATAATTTCTCTTTAAAGAACCTAAGTTTATTAAAATGAGATTACTTTAGAGACTTATAATTAAGTTTGTTTCCAAAATTAGTCAACAAGCATAGAAATGCAGAAAGGAAGTTTGGCTGGCTTGAGAAGCATGCACTTCTTGACAGCGTATGGCCTGTTGGGAAGTATACAGACAGGTCACCATGGTACTCGTCTGTGAATACCAGTTATACACACCTCCTATTTAAACATGAAGCTGTTGGTAAATCTTTAAATTTTTTGAGTTTTTGACTCATTGATGAATTTCACCTTGTAGAGAACATTCGCTTTTTGAGCTGTGACATTCTGCAAGGGATCCTAACAATGCAGGTGAATTGCTATTCCATTGCCACACCAGTGTTATGCCTCAATTTACCTATCTGTGAAAAGGACATAATGACAGCCCTGAACAAAAATTAGCACTAATGTGCTGGACATATGCCTCTGACTTATAAACATTTTTTGCAACAATTTATATAGTCATTTCTTGATGCTGAGTCTGATTCATTAACATGTACTTTTGGTCCTGCTTCCTAAGAATTATTTAAGTGAATAAAATATATTTCAACTTGAAAAATGTTAAAACTGTACTAAATTATATTCTACTTCAGAATAAACAAGCCATAGACTGTTATAGCTTTTCAATGCCCTGTTACAAACATTTTAAAACATAAAGAATAATTGAATAAATTTTATCATGAATATCCACATGCTCACCACCCAGATTCTATAATTAACACCAATTCTGAAGCATTTTGAGGAAAACTACTTTTTAGATAATTATTGTACTGTTAATGGATGACAGTTTTACATCTTAATTTTCAGAGACACAAGTTGCAATTCTTACATCGCTAGATAGCAACTGACTTGTTTTACATGTATTTCTTTTCTTTTCCATGTCCCTGGGCCTTTCACATGCCTTCATGCTGGCCTTTCTTCATGCACACTGAAGGAACAACCCTAGTGACAATTACTGGGCCATGGGTACTATGTTCAATGCTGTAGCAGACATGGCTGAAGACAGCCGGAGAAAGATCCTTTAAATTTAGGTGGCATTGTTCCTTCAACAGATTAAGTTGAGAAACTCCCTGGTCACAATTCTAGTTGCTCCTCATGACAATCTCCTATATTTTAATTTAAAGCTACATAAGACTGAAAAAAATGTGACAACACACAAAGTTAAACAGTTTTTTTTTTTAATAATAGGACTGACTGCCCCAAACATGACATCTGACTACTCTGTGTCCAGCTTAGATTGAGATAGAGTGCCAAGCTTTCCTGATCTAGGAACCCTCTGCATGAAAAATAACCATAGACACCTAACAATACTATACAAAGCTATAAAGTAATGCCATGTGCTTGAATAGAATTCATAGTAACAGTTGGGGCTGGAGAGATGGCTCAGTGGTTAAGAACACTGACTGTTCTTGCAGAAGACCCAGGTTCAAATCCCAGCACCTACATGGCAGTTAACAACTCTCCATAATGCTAGTTACAGGGGATTCAGCAGCTTCTTCTGCCCTCCATGGGCATTGCACGACACAGGTGGACTTAACCTACATGCAGACATAACACTCATACACAGAAAATAAAAATAATAAATAAAATATTTTTTAAAAAAGAATTCATAGTAACAGTTTGGTTAACAAGCTTTCACTGAGGTCTTTGTTGGTACTAGTTTCTAGAACATACTAACCAGAAGATACTGGATAGGCTCACTGGCAAGTAGCTATCTGGGAGTTTGCTTTTACCATGACAAGAGAGTTCCTCAGCCTTGAAAGACACTACCTTTTCTATACCTAGCAAAAGCCATTTACCAACCTGTAAGGCTTTTCCTGCAATTGCTGGTGCCACAGATGTCTCTAGAGAGTTCTACCATCCAGAGGCAATCATATGCAAGTTCATTAAACAGCTCTTTGAGATGGTGGTTGTTGTTTGTAAGGAACACAGACTAAATAATAGTAATGGTAGAAACGAAAGTTATTGCTAAATGTTACCTACTTATGAGGTGTCAGAATCTTGACTGGGGACTTCATGTATATCACCTTACATAGTGGGCACAGCAACCCTGAAAGATAGGTAGCACATCCTCATTATAAAAATGAATGATCTTACAGGACTAGGGTCCCTTGGTACTTTGCCCAAAACCATGAACAGAAACAGCAGTTGAAGCCATAATTTCAGCTCAGGTTTGGTGCCTGAGCTGCTTTTCTCACTCATTTGTATTAATGAAGGGAATGGGGACATTAGCAGAAGCGTCCAGATAGCATTCCATCTCAAGGGAGGTGAAAAATTAAGCCTTTTTCCTTCCTGCTGTTCATGGATCAGAAAGAATAGAAATACATAGAGGATGGGATTCTGGCAGGGATAGCTCTCATGTCTAGGTACAGCTGTGTTCCAGCTATCTCAGGTCACAGGTAGACATGCAGAGG